TTTTTTCTGGGAAACAACTCTCAGATCTCTTTGGCCTATCTCCCAGCAGTTGTCCAGTTGGGCTGGTTACTTTTATTTTTAACTTATTTTCTAGCAAAGCCAACTCAAGAATTAAAATGTCATTGTCAGGTCCATAGCGTATGACTGTGGCTTGGTTAGATGCCTGTTCATCTCACTCTGTGTATCTTTAATTTGATCTAGAACTGGAATCTGACTCTAGTTGGCAACTCTCCTGAGAAAGAAATGGCTCGATGTGTAGTTTCATAAAGGAGGGCTAAAGAAAAAGTCAATTGCTTTGGTCATTTGTAAAAAGTATGCAGTATTTTTATTGATAAGGACTTTCATGGCTCCTTTGGAAAATCTCTTACCTGTATTCTACTTTATTAATGAAGAGATGTCATATAAATCTGTGTACCTCATGAGCCTACCCTGTATTTGTAATGTTTTGAAATACTTCTATGAAATGTTATGGGTTATTTTGTGAATTATAAATATGTGTAAAAAATCTCCAAACACTTGATTATTTCTCATATGTAAAATAAGAATGTTAACAAATTAAATATCATATATGTGTAAATGGAAGTGAAATATTAATTAATATCAAATAATTATAGTAAACATGGAAAGTTTTTTAAAAAGTTAAGCCAGTCCTGGCTGTCAGTGAGTTTACAACCTGTAAGGGAACAAGGGAGAAAAGAATATGAAAATTAAATAACAACGTAAGAGATGCCAAGGCCAATCTGTTGCTAATTGCCCCTGGAAGTGCAATTAGTGAGTAACTAGGACAGGTCAGGGGGAGGAGAGGCTTCCAGAAGCAGTGGGCTGGTAAGACTGTAAGAGAAGAAAGACCTCAGTGAGGTCTGAATTCAGGCTGAGGCTGAATAAGTACAGGGAGGTGGAGGAGAGGATTCTTGGTGCCAGGAACACATTCGAGCACGAAGAGAGTGCAGTTCCACAAAGGAAAAGGAAGACCAAGCTTCACACTTGGGTGGGACACTCACAGAGCTCTCTGGAGACTGCGCTGGAAAGGCCCTAGGAACTGCACTGCTGGGGCCTTTGAATGTCAAGTTGAGAAGTTAAGGTGCTGCACCAAAAAGGACCCTGGTCACAGTAGCATTGTAGACATATTGATTTGATTTCAGTTGTGTTGCATTAAATGTAGCAGGGAGAATTAGGAGCAGGAAGATTAAATAGAACGATGGTCAAGACTGGGTGTGGGGTAAGCATGGTCCAAGAAAGGAAGGGATGGGAACAGGAAATCGGAGGACCAAGCACACTGCCACACACATGTGCTGCTTAACCCTTATTGTCGGAGCTGTCTGGTATTTTCAAAAGCACTGTCGAACCTATCGTTTCTCAAGAGTAGATTTCCTAATGAAGAAATGCAGGAGTTACACATCTTGAACTTTCAATTTATAAAAACCTATCTAAGTTATGCTACCTTAAGTATGGCTTGACCCTACCCAAACTCATATTGAGATATTTAACTGACCAGGTAATAGTCATTAAGAGCCAGCAGAACCTTGCAGCGATGGTTGGGGTGCGGTGGCTCGGCTCTCATGGGAGGAGGAATGCATTTACCACACAGCAGGTCAATCGTCTTGAGACGGGATTGTTACATGGCGAGGCTATCACTCATGTTCTCTCCTTCCTGCCTTGTGGAGCCATCAGCCACGTTATGACACATCGTGAGGCCCTCATCAGATGTGGCCGGCTGATCTTGAACATCTCGACCTTCAGAACAGTGAGCCAAAATAAACCTCTTCCCGTATTACCTAAAGTATTCTGTTATGGCAACAGAAAACAGACTCGGGCAGTTGACATGTTGAATCTTTTTTTCTCCATCTTGATTTTGTATCCTTATCTAAGTATAAAAAGTCTTAGCTAAAAAATGGAAAAACAAACAAGGCCCATGAAGTGGAGGAATTAGAGGAGAACTGAGAACATTTTATTTTATCAGACAGTTAACTCCAGTTAAAGAGTCTAAGCTTCTTGTTCTGTCTTTTGTTTGTTTGAGGAAGGTGGTGTCAGGACAACTGTGGGAAATCCCCAAGAATTTCTGGGATCCTTTTCTGCCCGTGGACTTAGGTTGGTGCTCCTGTTAGAAGACCCTTGTCATTTTGAACATTTATAATGTAATGTACCTACTTATTTCCATAAGTTCAGAGACTTGAGGAGTCTCTGAATGAGCTGGAGAATTTTCCCAACAATGCCAGCATCATGGTCCTGCTGCCTGCTATGCTGCTTATGCTGTGTTACAGTTATTGGCATCCCGTTTCCTCCCTGAACCTCTACAACTAAGCCCTACTGGCCTTTTCACTGACAGAAACGTGGTGCCTACCGGGGCACGTAAGGTCTACACACTCCATTCCAGTAGCACCACTTGACAGAAAGATGGTGTCAGATAGAGAGCCTCCCGCATCTTCCCTTTCCAGCGCTGCTCAGAGCCCTTTCCTGGGCAGCGTCCAGGTCAGTTCTTTCCAAATGCCTCAGCTACTTCATGGCTGCTCCTTGACCCTACCCAGAACCCCCAAAGAAGCCTGAGGGGAAAAAGGAGAAAGGAAGGGGAGACTAACCCAGGCAGGGTTGGGGTGACTGAGGGTACAGTCTTTTTCCCTTTTTAGCTCCTGTTTCCTGGCTCCCCCTCTTCACCCTCCCCAAGTTGGCAGACTAGGCTGGTAAGTCCAGGGCAGGGGTGAATAAACAAATAAATCACTTCCCAGTTGTAACACTCTAATGGTCAAGTTTAGGCCTAAAGCAAATTCATATGTGTGGACTGGTGTGAGGCTCAGTGGCTAAAACCGCCCCACTGTATAAACTAGGAAGCTTACTTTTGGCGAGTGGCCAAGCCAGCTGTGAAAGTTGGTCTTTGGAGGGTGAGAACCCGCGTTCAGTCCACTTGTTGATATTCCTTCCAGATGTAATTCTTTTTATACCAATTTTTTAAAAAAAGATGTGTAAGTATTATGTAACGCCATCTTGCACCTTTCTATTGCACTGACAGAAAGCTATTTACCTCACAAGGACTTAATCACAGATTATTTTCAGGTATGAGAGAATATAGTAGCAGGACCAAAGGAAAGAGGGCCCTGCGGTCCTCAGGGCTGTCGCACCGTCATCACCATGTGGCCAGCTACAGCTAGGGTAACCATTAACCACTCATTTCAAACCACATTACTTGCCAACTTAAAACGAAACAAAACAAAATAAAAACCTCTACATAACTTCATATGTCTTCAGCTTTAACCCACGTGCTTGTATTTTTCCGCTATTCTCCCTTCAAAGCTAATCCCAGGAGTTCGAGAAACTGAGAACTTGAGCAAAGGGGCAACAGCCACACTGTTCCAAGAAATTGGAAATCTCAGTTGCATGAAGTCAACCAAAAAGATGATAGTACCTTGTTATATGTATGAACCCAGCTCACATTACAAAATCCTATGAAAAATAAAACACAAAATAGGGGTGTTGGTGCCGAGTGAGAGAAATCTAAAATGTCAACAAACGCGTTCTGTTATTTACTCCGGAAGCTAACAAGTTTGTTTCTCTTTTCACACTTGGAACACACCGTTGCATCATACACACACTCGCTGGGGCTGAAGCGTGCATGCGTGTGTGTGTGTGTGTGTGTGTGTGTGCGTGTGTGTGTTTCCAGCTGGTCCTGTGCGTTGGCTATTACAGGCACAAGCCTTTCCTTCCTGAGTCTACCGCACGGAAGCACAATACAGTCCCTTGCAAGAACCGCACCCTAAGAGTCCCTGACAGATGTGCCATTTGCTCCAGCAACCAGCTCGGCTGGGAAGTTTCCTCCTAACCACTTAGATCCACCTGCGCTTCCCCCAGCTCTCAGGACTGGTGCTAGGGAAGCGTTTCGCACGCACCCTGAGACCTAGTCTCACAGTCAAATTCCTCCACCCCAGCGAACAGACTGTCCAAGGCTTCAGGAACCCTGAGGTCCCTCTGCGCTAGAAAAGCACGCGCTGTGCGTTGCAGGCGCGCGGGCACTGGGCGTAGAGGAGTGCGGGGAGCGCAAGCACGCAGAAGAGAGCCGGCTAACGCAGGAACAAGGCAAAGGGGCACAAGAGAACCGGAATGCAGGCGCGAGTGCGGGGGAGGGGGAGGGCGCAGCCGGGGGCGCAGGGAAGCGCGCGCCGGAGCTAGCCAGCGCGGAAAGGGGCGCGCTCGCGGCGACCGGCGGGTGCCGGGGAAGCGCTGGCTCTCTCCTCCCCGGGACTCTTCAACGCCGCTCCACTGAGGGGGGCGGGGGGCGGGGGGACGCGGAGCAGAGGCGGGGGCGGGGGCGTGTCTTTGCAGCCATTGGCTGCCGGAGCCTGACGCGAGCCGGGGGCTGGCTTGGGGAGTGGGGGAGCTGGGTGGGGTGGGTGTTGGGTGCCGGAGCTGCGGGGCCGGCGCGCTCAGAAACATGCTGAGGTCCCGGCAGCTCTTCCAGCAGCGGCAGCGGCTCCAACAGCGGCGGCGTCGGCGGTGGCGACAGCGCTCGGCTCCGGCGGGGAAGGCGCCCGGCGCCCATGCTGCCGGCCCCGCGCCGTGGCTGCCCTGACCCAGCCGCGACCTCCCCGCGCGCGCCCGGCCACCCCGATTCCTGGGGTGTTCCCCAACTACGGCCCAGCCCCGCCACACACCCCGCCCCCGGCCTCCGCAGCTAGGCATGGGCGCGGGGGCGCTCGCCCTGGGCGCCTCCGAGCCCTGCAACCTGTCGGCCACCGCGTCGCTCCCCGACGGCGCGGCCACTGCGGCGCGACTGCTGGTGCCCGCCTCGCCGCCCGCCTCCCTGCTGCCCCCGGCCAGCGAGGGCTCCGAGCCGCTGTCGCCGCAGTGGACGGCCGGCATGGGCCTGCTGATGACCCTCATTGTGCTGCTTATCGTGGCGGGCAACGTGCTGGTGATCGTAGCCATCGCCAAGACGCCGCGACTGCAGACGCTCACCAACCTCTTCATCATGTCCCTGGCCAGCGCTGACCTGGTCATGGGGCTCCTCGTGGTGCCGTTCGGGGCCACGATAGTGGTGTGGGGCCGCTGGGAGTACGGCTCCTTCTTCTGCGAGCTCTGGACCTCGGTGGATGTGCTGTGTGTGACGGCCAGCATCGAGACCCTCTGTGTCATCGCCCTGGACCGCTACCTCGCCATCACCTCGCCCTTCCGCTACCAGAGCCTGCTGACGCGCTCTCGGGCGCGGGTCCTCGTGTGCACCGTGTGGGCCATCTCGGCCCTGGTGTCCTTCCTGCCCATCCTTATGCACTGGTGGCGGGCTGAGGGCGACGAGGCACGCCGCTGCTACAACGACCCCAAGTGCTGCGACTTCGTCACAAACCGGGCCTATGCCATCGCCTCGTCCGTCGTATCCTTCTACGTGCCCCTGTGCATCATGGCCTTCGTGTACCTGCGGGTGTTCCGCGAGGCCCAGAAGCAGGTGAAGAAGATCGACAGCTGCGAGCGCCGCTTCCTCGGCGGCCCGGGGCGCCCGCCCTCGCCCTCGCCCTCTCCCGCGCCCGCGCCTGGGTCTCCGCGCCCCGCCGCCGACCCGCTGGCCAACGGGCGCCCCAGCAAGCGGCGACCCTCGCGCCTCGTGGCCCTGCGCGAGCAGAAGGCGCTGAAGACCCTGGGCATCATCATGGGCGTGTTCACGCTCTGCTGGCTGCCCTTCTTCCTGGCCAATGTGGTCAAGGCCTTCCACCGCGACCTGGTGCCCGACCGCCTCTTCGTCTTCTTCAACTGGCTGGGCTACGCCAACTCGGCCTTCAACCCCATCATCTACTGCCGCAGCCCCGACTTCCGCAAGGCCTTCCAGCGCCTGCTCTGCTGCGCGCGCCGGGCAGCCCGCAGGCGCCACACGGCCCACGGCGACCGCCCGCGCGCCCCGGGCTGCCTGGCTCGGGCTGGGCCGCCGCCGTCGCCCGGGGCAGCCTCGGACGAGGACGAGGACGTCGGGGCCGCGCCGCCCGCGCGCCTGCTGGAGCCCTGGGCCGGCTGCAACGGCGGGGCGGCGGCGGACAGCGACTCGAGCCTGGACGAGCCGGGCCGCGTGGGCTTCGCCTCGGAGTCCAAGGTGTAGGCGACCCTGCTGTCCCCACCGCCTGGACGCGGACCCTGCGCCCCGCCGGACGACCTTGCACGGCCTCCCAGGGGAAAGAGGGAAGCTCTGTTTACTCAAGACCGAAAGCAGGTGAACTCGAAGCCCACAACCTCGTCTGAATCATCCGAGACAAACAGAAAAGCCACGGACCATTGCACGCAAAGGAAAGTTTGAGGAGGGGTTGGGAGAGTGGCTTGCTGATCTTTCTTCGGTTCTTTTCTGTTTGTGGCTGGGCGCCTAGCTTTGTGTGTGCCTGTGCTGCATCTTTCGATCCCCTCGCCCCTCCCCCCAGGTGGGTACTTTCTGAGAGTATCCCAGTGGAGACTGGGTGGTAGGGAAAGGGAGCTAATTCCATCAGTTTGGCTTCCATCTCATTCCGGAGAACAGGAGCCGTCAAACGGGGGTGGGCAACTTACCAGGACGTGTTTCTTTACGCTTTCTTGACAAATTGCATTTTAATCCCTGAGTAATGGTTTCTCCTGTTCTTGAAGCAAAGGGAAAGGATGGATGCAAAATAATCTAGTTTCGAGAACTTTTAAGCTCTTCTTAGAACAAGCTTCACCTTGCTTTCCTTCTGCAGGGCTAACCCTGCCCCTGTGCGCCTCGGTGGTCCTGCTGAGGGTTTTCTACCTCACCCTGTGCACATTGCACAGAAAGATAGAAAGACTTGTTTATATTAAACAGCTTATTTATCAATATTAGTCGGAAGGACCAGGCGCTGAGCCTCTCTCTGTGACATGTGACTCTGTCAATTGAAGACAGGACAGGAAAAAAAAAAAGGCAACAGTTCAGATAACTGCACACCTGCGTCAAAACAAACAAGACACATTAAACAGGAGTGGTTCCAAATGCCATTTTTGCACAGTGTTAGGAATTGTGAAGTTCACGGATGTTACTTGCACAAAAAGAAATGAAATATTTTTAAAGGGGTGGGAAGGGGGCAGATCTTAAAAGCTAAAATAAAATTCAAACTCAGCTTCTGTTGTCTATTACGTTATTGAGCTAATAATGGTTTACTGGGAAAATATCTTTTTATACTCTTTTATCATGGTACTGTAACTATCCATATTATAAATATAATTATCGTATGGATTTTTTTTATTATTTTTTTATGTCCAAGTGCCCATGTGAATCTGCTGGTAAAGTTTTAGCACTTGTGTGTAAATTCTATTTCCTCTTGTATGTTTCACGAAGTATTTTTACTCTGGTGCCACTAACTACTGTGTGAGGAATTGGTCCATGTGCAATAAATACCAATGAAGCACAATCAAGATTTACGTACCCTTGTGTCTGTAGAGTCAGTGACAATGAAAGAGATCATTTGCCTTTTCATTAGACTGTATTTCTCACAGACCCCTCTCAATAGCTTTGCATGACTCCATACCACAGCAAAATGCCTCTAGACCAAATATGATGCTCACCTACCGGGAGCTGCAGATTTGCCTTCAATTTTCACAGCCGGATGCAAGGTATTCCAGACTACTCGCAGGTGCTTTTCGGGATCCCATGTGCTGCACTTGACTTACGAAGTGACTGTTGGAGTTGTGTCTACTGGGGGGAAGTGATGGAACCAGGTAACTCTGCTGCAAGTTTGCTCGGAAGAACAGGAAAGGAGACTGTCCCTGAACAGCCGGTTTGCAAAGTGTGGTAAGTGGCTTCCACAGTTTATTTTTGTTTCCAATTGAAAAATCACAGCCTACAGATGATCCATATGTGCCGATTCTGTAGTGATTGTTTAGAATTAAAAAAAAAAATTCTTATGTCCAAGCAAAAATTTATCAAAGGGCTTTTAAAGTAAATATTTCTCTTGTGTAATTCAGTAGATGACCTCAGCAGGAGTTTTGGGTGGGTAGGTCAAGGTAAAAAAGCAGATATACAGTCATTTCATTTCCTAGTAATTGACATATGAAATGAACACAATGTTTTCACACAATTAGTTCCTAAGGAAAGTACAGTGAAATTCCATCCTGAGGTTAATTGGATATTCTTCAAAATAAGTTATGTTTATGTTCTTAAACAGCTTTTCTTTTTATAATCAAACAGTAAAAATATCAAATGAAGATATAAAGTTTGTGCTCACGCTGCCCTTTAGCAGGAATAGAGTTTTTTTTTTTTTTTTTTTGTTCCAGGGAAAGTTAGGACTGGTCATCCCTTTTCACAATGGCATATCCTGAAACCCAGGGGACAGTGTTCTGGAAAGGTTAATCGAGTCCTGCTGGGAGGGTCCAGCAGGAGATGACAGGAACAGCCGCACTGACGCACTGTCGGCAAAGGCTGCCCCCAAGTTGAATCCCTTTCTCAGCAAAAAGAGAAAGGTGGGTGGAAGATCAGGATGACAAAGGTAGAAAACAAAGATAAACACTTACTTTAGAGAATGTGAAATCAGTCTCCGGATGAAACGTTACAAGAATTTTCTTTGACTTAAAGTCATTTCTAATTTTGTTTCCTTTTGTGTGTGTAAGATGCATTTGGTTGTGAGTTTTACCTCCTCTTTATTTGATCCTAATAGATTTAGTATCTTCAGTTTTATCTGAAGAACACTGGGTTACCACTGATTATTTCACTTACTCTGTTTAGATAACTCTTCACATTTAAATAAAAAGAAATATTCCCATGTAAAAGCATATTACAGGCCCAGTTTTAAAATCAAGAACATCCTTATAACTATTAGAACAAATGTATATAATTTAACTGCTTAGTAGACAGGTTGAATTTCTTTAGTGATTTAGGGGAAATCACCATAATCTTGGGGCCAGTCTGTATATATTAGTGAGAAATAGAAAAAGGCTTTTGTGTGAACTGTATTCTGTAAGTGGGGCTTACAAGGATTCAGGAAAAGGCCATGTCAGTGATTCCAAATACCCATAAAAACTAGTCTTTTTCATTTTCTGAGGAAAGTAGCCATTGATTTGTAATAGGAAATGTAAAAGGCGGTCTGCCAGTGTCAAAAACTATGGCAGTGGGAAGAGAAAGTTACCAATCCCATGTCGCCTTGTGAAATAAATAGTAAACCACAGAAATGGCAGGAGGAGCACAAGAGGTACGAAGTCACCCCTACCTGGGGGTTTGTGTGTGTCAAAGAACCAAAAGCATAAAACTTAAAGTCACAGCAGTGAACTAAAATGTAATCAAGGCTCATTGATTTGCTATTCGCTGGAAATTCGGTTGAGCATTGTGATGTCCTCTAACGTGAACTGATCAAAAGTTTCCAGGCTGTATAAATTCCTCTTCCCACGTACAGATGGGAACTTGATAGAGCGTATAGCTTGGTCTCGTGGTAAACTTGTCAATATGAAACTTTGCAATCAAGTGTGATTTCTGGCCTGTGCTTTCTTTGGAACTGGTACTAATTTCTATGTGGCGATTGTGAAACCTTCCTTGTTCAGCATATTTTCCTAGCATATTTTAATTTCATATTTTGTTGATGTGCTGACCTCCTCTGACAATATGTACAATTTCCTGGTGGAAATTCTGCACCCAAAGTATCTGTGTAGTACTAACATTGAAGTTTTTTTAGTAAGTGCTTCTAAGGGAAAGTCTAGAGAAAAATTATTCTGTAACTTTTGCTGCTCATTGTAAAAGACTCATTTTCTCTTAAATGTCTTCGACAAAGCCAGGCCCGTTCATTCTTCTGAAGGAAAAAAAAAAATTAAAACCTCAGCAGTAACTTAAATTTAAACACATTGGCACAGAGAATGTAGTTTTATTTGTACATTTCTGGCATAATGTGCTGAGAAATACTAATTCTTTTGACTCTCTGCCAATTTTCTACTAATCAAAATGGAGAAGATATGCACTGTTTGGATTATACCTAAAAATAGTGCTCCGGTCACATCAGCAAACGGGATTAAATTAATTTCTCTTTCTTTCCCTTCACACACCCCCGACATGTTATTTAAATTTCCATCTAGAATATCACTCCTGAATCTCCTGGTTTTAGACTTAGTGTGTCCCAAATAGCGCAGCTACAATGCCGCGGTCTTGAGCCAAACTCCATTTAACCACTTTGCAGGGCCTGTCCCTCCCCTGAAATACCTACATTCACCCTCCTTTCACCTAGACAGTCTCTTCTATGATTATGATGTAATCATAGAAGTATTATTTCTATAAATAGATGCTTTGTGGATTAATTCACCACATCAATCATCTTTTTTTTTTTTTTTCCTTTTGTGGGAGGAGAGAGAGAGATCGGTTCAGAATCTGTCAGATTCAGTTATTTGATCTGGGAGCAGATAAGGGAGTTCGAAAGCCAATTGCTTTAATGACAGACTGGAAAAATATAATAGTCTTGAAAAGCTCACCCAAGGCTGCTGGTTAGACCACGTTCTTTGCAGCGCTGTTAGCAGTGCCTGAGAAAGCGCGGTCGGTAGTTGCCTTAAAACTTTCCTCTTCGCTTGGTCGCTTGGTCGCTTGGTCGCTTGGTCGCTTGGTCGCTTGGTCGCTTGGTCGCTTGGTCACTTGGTCTCAGAGAGAGATCGCATTTCCCCCCTGCACCTGGACACAGTTCTTGTCTGGGGCGCACTGTGCTCCCTAGCATTTTTTTTTTTTTGAACATTTATTTCTCTGTTCTTGAATGACCTTGAAACATCTAGAACATCTACATAAAGTCTCTTCTCATGAATGGCTTCCTAAAGTTCTGCATTTTCTCATCTTTCAGCTCCTGTGATCTTTTTCCTTTCCTCTCCACGTTGCCGCGCCCATAACTGCTAACTGGCAGCACCAGTGTCACACTCTTTCTACGTATGGCACAAAGTTTATACACCTCGGATGCATTTTAACTCTCAGGTTTGCATTTCTGCCTGACCATTTTAGTATTGCTCATAATTACGTGGCAACTCCAAGCAGAAAAAAAAATGAAATTATTGTTTGTGCTTTTCTCATGAAAGTTCTTCGTGATGGGTTTAAGATTGGGGGCAAGGGGTTTCCTTAATAGACTTTATTTTTCTGGCCCTATCTCTTCTTAACCTTGTCAGTCCATCTGTATTGCAGTCTCAAAGGATAATGTTAGTTGTTCCTCCTTCAACTCTCTGTAAATTAAAGTAGTTTTACTAGTTATTATTAGACTAGCTCACTTGTAAGAATTGTGTATACCTCTGAAAGGACAAAATTTTTTGAAAAAACTTTGGCCACTGTGGCTCCTTCTCTGTCTGTAGTCCCGTTGTGCCTGCTGTTAGGATTCGGGTTCACTTCCCCCAAGTCTGATCAGTAACCCTTGCCTGTAAATCCCTTTGAGGCGCTCTTACAGAAGGAGTTCTTTGCTTTACTGCATCTATCATTTCAATTCTTCCCCCCACCTTCTCTTCCCCTTCCTAGCAGCTCTACCTACAAAAATCCCTGAATTTTTAAACTGCAAAGCGACAAATAAGAATTGCAGGAATATATATAATACCCTATGCATCCAAACAAATGGTCCTTCTTTTTTATTGCACTTAAAATTCCACAGAAACCACAACTGAATCAAATAATCTTCTTTCCAAACAGGAGATTAAAAACCTGTTTGCTATGTACTTTGCAAACAAGGTGGTTTAATGATTCGCAACCCACAGCCGCTTTGAGAAAAGTAAGTCAATCGAAAAGTTCCCCAACTCTACAATTTTTGCGCTGAGTTGTAAAAGCTAATAGCAACCATCTAGGTTGTTCTCTTTTCTGGGAATAGCAGTTCAGAGATGAAAAGCGTTGAAAGCCACAGGAGTTTGTATTTTTGCTTACCTTTCTTTTTGTAGCTTTCAGGGTACAGGGTTTCTTTGTTCTCCATATCATAAATGGTAACAAAACTACAGGAACTTTACTGACTTAAAATATCTGTTATATGAAGTACAGGAACTCACCTGCAATCTTAAGGTCCTTGTTAAAAATGCTTTTAAAGAATAAACACTAATAGATGTTCCGATAATATTTTCTGCACTCTGAGGTCTTTTTAAAAGCCTTTGTAGGCAATATTTTAGTAAGATGTCCTTTTTAAAGAACTCATTGTGCTTAAATGATTTTTATGATTAATCCAGGTAATTCTTTTTTTTTTTTTCCTTTTGTTTAAGAATAGACACCCCTAAGTAGAAGTGAGACATGCAATATAATTCCAGTTTCTGGCACACAAAAGCTCGTGATCTGTCTCATAGTCTTCACTCAGGGCTATCCTTAGATCCATGCAGACCCCCCAAGACTGATAATGTAAATATTTGCTCTAACAGATAGTAGGTCTATCAGTAATTTTTTTTTTAATATCAAATCCAAAACCTTCTTGGAGTTTTGATTCTTAGCTGGTATCAGTGACATCTGAAAACTGATGGCTTTGCCAATATTCTGTTTAAAAATCCTTCTGAGGATGTATATGAAATACACACACAGACAGAGACAGACAGACAGACAGACAGACACACACACACACACACACACACATACACACCAGCTTTATAGGTACTAAGTAATTCTGTTTGTTCTTCTAAACAACTTCAAATCCTTTCATTCTTTTTGCTGTTAAGAATAATCTCCAGTTACAGGGATTCTTTTTGCTGGAGACCAAAACAAACACAACACTGCACAGAATGTTAAGTTTGGTACCTGGTTCATTGACATTAACATATCATCATCTCAGAGTAAGGCTGGTAACTTTTGTTAGTATCACCAAAGGCACAAAACTCTAGACCAGC